AGAATGATCATTAATTGCATAAAATTTACTGTTTAGTTTTATTCATGGTTTTAACTATTCATTTTCTAGTTTAGTTTTCAGTTTATAAATTTATCTCTGTGCGATCCTGTAGAAATCATCCTGGAACTTCCCCCTCTTCCCCATCAGGTGGCAAATTTCTCCACAATGGATGATGACCTTGAACCTCAGCGCAATACCAAGGACTGGGATGACATTATTCCAGAAGCACAACGGAGAAGGATGGAAGAGGAAGAACGACAGAAGGAACTTGAGGAGATCTACTTGCTTCCTCGAATGCGTAACTGTGCCAAACAGGTAAATGTTAAAGCACAGGGCTCATGACCAAGCTGGGAAAATCTGGGGAAGAGGAGAGAGCTCTGGAGGACTGGGAAACTGGCAGTGGTAATTGTGTGGTCTCCACTTGCAGTGATTCTGGTTCAGCCATTGCACATTATCAGCACCTCTTGTCTGAGAAAATGAGGGCACTGGTTAAGATCACCAGTTGTTAGATTCAGAGTTAAAGCTGGAAAGACATAACCAATACTTGTACATCTGAAGCTTTTCTTTGAGTTTTACCGGAACAGACAGAGGTGTTGGAATGGGCTAGAAAATTAAAAGTAACGAAGAATTGACAGTTCAGTGTCATGATTGCAGGCCAAACCAAGGTGGGATCACACAATCAGCATTTCATCCTCCATGTATAGAGAGGGCCACATTGTGAGAAGTGACAGAGGTAGAGACAGCAGAACAATACACAGGATATTTTAATCCTCTGGTATGGAATCAAAATAAGTATTCGTACAGGTCTGTATTTCAATTTTGTTTTTGTTTAAAAGAGGAAGGTTTTCAATACATTAAACACTGCAAAATGAAACTTAACTGTACCATGAAAGTGCACTGCTGCCATCGTCTGGCTATTATTTGTATTGCAGTAACCAGTAAGGTCATAAGGACAGGCATCAGCATTCAGAGTAAATCAAGCCACCTGTTCCATTTATTATGATCATAGCTGTTTGAACACTTAGACGCCTTTTGACTGCACAATCCCCATAACCCTTGATGCCATTGCCAATCAAAAGTTTGTCAGCCTTGACTTTAAATATAGTCAAAGACTGAGCTTCCACAACCCTATAGGATAAAGAATTCTGAAGTTTCACCACCCTCTGAAGGGAAAAGAAAACATTCCTCCTGAGTTCTAAGTTCTAAATACTACTTATTTTTAAATAGTACTCCCTGGTTCTAGACCCCTCAACTAGGGCAAACATCTTCCCTGCATTGAACCTGTCCAACCCTTTAAGTATTTTGTAAATCTCAATGAGATCACTGCTTATTCTTCCAAACCCTAGAGAATACAGGTCTGGTTTGCCCAATATCTCTTCATAGAACAGTTCTACCATCTTGGGAGTCAGTCTGTTGAACTTTCATTGCACTCCCTCTATGACAATAATATCTTTCCTGAGATGAGACCATAATTTCTCACAATACTCCAGGTATGGTTTAACCAAGCTTTTACATAATTGAAGCAAAACTTCATTACTCCTGCACTCTCGGCCCCTTGTAACAAAATATACCATTCCGTTAATCTTCCTAATAGCTTGCTATACGTGCAAATTAGTTTTCAGCAACTTATTGGCCAGGGCACCCAAGGCTGTCTGCACATCTGCACTTTTAAACTCTCATTTTAAAAAATTCTCTGCATATCTGTTCTTCCTATCAAAGACAATAACCATAATTTTTTCCACATTATGTTCCATCTGTCAGGTTTTTCCCAATCACTATGCCTGTCCAGATCCTTCTGAAAATATTTTACATCTTCCTCAATACACATTCCTACTCAGCTTTGTATTATCTGCAAATTTAGAAAGATTACACTTGGTCCACATGATTACTTTGCTTCTCGTACGAAAAGCTTCTCTCATCTGCTGATTTATACCTTTCCCTACACTGTTCTGCTATTTGGAGGACTCTTAGTAACGTCATCTAATGTTTGCTGTCCCCAGCTGTATCCAAACAGATTTCACACATTGTTTCCCTGATCTGAGATCCTGACTTGTATTATCAGCACAATTCCACTTCCTTTTTCTTCTTGTTTGTTCTTCCTAAATATTAAATATGCCTGAATATTCAATTCCCAGCCCTGATCCCCATGTTTCTGTAATGGCAATTAGACCATGCCTACATATCGTTATTTGTGCCTTTAGATCATCCACCTTGTTGTCAACACTACATACATTCAGGTAGAGCGCCCCTAACTTTATCTTTTTGGCATAATTCCACAGGCAAGACATGCTGTATGCTCAGCTTTGTGTCTCCTCTCTTCTAATCTCTCTCTGTTTTTCCATTTCCAGCTGAACTCCCAGTTTGGGTTACCCTTCAGGTTGCCATTCCCGACAAGTTGATTTAAACTAACCCCAACTGCACTAACACGTCTAGCTATGGTGATATCAGTCCCAGTCCTATTAAGATGTAATTTCTTCTGCCTACATAGGTTGCCTCAGAAGTGTGACCCCCCCCGCCCCCGCTTCTTCGAATGCCAGTTCTCCAGCCATGCGTTCACTCGATTGATTCTCTCATTCTTGTGCTCGTTAACATGAGACATTGGGAGTAATCCTGAGATTACTGCTCTTGTGGTCCTGCTTTTTAATTTCTTTTCTAACTCCCCAAATTCTCCTTTCAGGATCCCTCTCCCTGTCTATGTCATTCACACCAATACGGACCATGATCCACCTCCCGTGAAGGATGTCCTTCAGTTTGTACGTTTTTCAATCTGTCGACTGTTAACAGCAAGACCAATGACAAATTCTTTGCCATGTTCCATTTGACTTCACTGAAAAGTTGGATAGTGGCCTATTTTTCAGAATCATAAAACCATTACCATAAGATATCGGAGCAGAATTTGGCCACTTGACCTCTCCGGTCTACTTTCCCATTCAATCATGGCTCATATGTGTTTCAACCCCGTTCTCCGGCCTTCTTCTCTGTGGCCTAGATCCCTTACCAATCAAAAACCTGTCTGTCATAAATACACTCAATGACTTGACCTCTGCATCAGTGAGTTCTCCAGATTTGCTACCCTCTGGCTGAAGCAATTCCTCCTCACCTGATTTCTGAAGAGATTTCTTCACTCTGAGGCTGTGCCCCTGGGTCCTAGTCTGTCCAACTAGTGGAAACATCTTCTCCATGTCCACTCTATCCAGGCCCCTCAGTATTCTGTAAGTTTGAAATAAGATCTCCCATCGTCCTTCTAAACTCCTACAAGTACAGATCCAGAGTCCTCAACCTCTCCTGACATGACAAGCCCTTCATCCCAAGATCATCCTTGTAAGCTTCCTCTGGACCTTTTCCAATGCCATTATGTCCTTCCTTAGATATGGGGCCCAAAACTGTTGTCAGTATTCAAAATGTGGTCTGTCCACAATCTTAATACAGCGTCAGCAGTACATTTCTGCTTTTGTATTTGAGTTCTTTTGAAATGAATGCTAACTTTGCATTTGCCTTCCTAACAGCCAACTGAACGTCCCTGTTAACCTCGAGAGAATCCTGAACTAGGACTCCTAAGCCCCTTTGTGCTTCAGATTTCTGAAGCTTCTCCCTGTTTAGAAAATGGTCTTGCCTCTATACTTCCTACCAAAATGCATAACTCCTCACTCTCCCACATTGTATTACATCTGTCGCTTCTTCCCCCCACTCTCCGAGTCTGCCCAAGTCCTTCTGTAGCCTCCACTTCCTCAACATTGTATGGTCCTCCACATATCTTTGTGTCATTTGCAAACATAACAACAATGGCCTTAGTTGTTCCATCCAGGCTGTCGATGTATAACATGAAAAGTTGTGATCTCAACACTGACCCCTGCGGACCTCCACTAGAACTGGCTACCATCCTGAAAATTATCCTCGCTCTCTGCTATCTTTCAGTCAGCCTATCCTCTATCCATGCCATTACCTTGCCCCAACACCTTGGGCTCTTACTTAGTAGTATCCTGTGCGGAACCTTGCCAGAGGCCTCCTAGAAATCTAAATAGATCTCGTCCACTGGCTCTCTTCCATCTAACTTTCTTGTTACCACCTCAAATTCTAACAGATTTATCAGGCATGACCTCCTCTTGACAAAGCCACACTGACTTGCACTCTTCTGCACTCTTTCCAAGTTCCTTCCTATAGCAAGGTGACCAAAACGGAACACAATACTCCAAGTGCGGCCTCACCAACATCCTGTGCCACTTCAACGTAATTTTCCAGCAGCTGCACTAAGTGGCCTGACTGAAGGAGACCAGTGTGCCAAAAGCCGCCTTCACTGCCCTGTCTATGTGTGACCCCACTTTCAGAGAGCCGTGCACCTGAACTCCAAGATCCCTCGGTTCCACTATACACTCCTTAACTTTTTTCCTAGCTCTCTATAATCACTCTGCAGGACCTCATCCCTATTTCTATTGAAGTCATTTGTGCCAACATGCACAATGACTTCTGGCTGCTCGTTCTCCCCCTTGAGAACGTTCTGCTGCTGCTCCAAGATGTCCTGGATGCTGGCACTCCGGAAGCAACCCTCCATCCTGAATTCCTGTCTGCGGTCACAGAATCTCCTGTCTGTTCACCTGACTATTAAGTCTCCTGTCACTAAGGTCCTGTTTACCTTTACCCTTTCCCGCTGTGCCCCAGAGCCAACCGTAGTGCCACTGACCTGGCTACTGCTGCTTTCCCCTGAACAGTCATCACTCCCAACAGTTTCCAAAACAGTATAATTTGTTTTCGAGGGGAATGGCCACAGGGGATTCCTGCACTGTCTGCCTACTCCCTTTGCCTTTCCTGGTGGTCACCCAGCTACTCTCTGCCTGCACCTTAGGTGTGACCACGTCACTAAAACTCCTATCTATGATGCACTCAGCATCTCGGACAATCCCAAATGCATCCAGTTCCATTTCTCTAACACAGTCTCACAGCAGCTGCAGTTGGGTGCACTTCCCACAGTCTTCAGAGACGATGGAGGTTTCCCTGAGCTCCCATGTCCTGCAGGAGGAGCATGCCACTGCCCTAACTGGCACCTCAAATGCTCTATATCTAAAGAGGAAAGTTAAAAGGACTTTACCTGAGTTTACCTGTACTTTTCGCTGAGCCGCTGCTTACCAAAGCTTGTCAAGACAATGCCTTACTACTTACCCTTCTAACAACAAATTTTCAATTACACATCTCTCTTCCCTCTCTTTTTTTTGGTTAGCAGAGGAGGGAGGGAGGGAAACACTACAGTGTTGGAATGTTTCTGGCTATGTCTGAAGTTAGGTTCCTGAAACTTCCCATAACCTCTGTCCTATTATTTGTTCTGGAAATTTTAGTTACCTTTGCTGAGCCTTTTTCACCCTCCCTTAACTTTTGCCTGTTTTAGCTAACTGAACCCACCTCCCACTTCCTCTCCATCCTCCACTCACTATTTAGTTTAAAGACCTATCCAACACTGGTTACACAATTCCACCAGGACTCTGGTCCCAGCATGATTCAGCCTGTCCCATCCGAACCGCTCGCTCCTTCCCCAGTACTGGTGCCATTTTCCTATGAATTCAAACTCATTTCTCTGACACCAATTTTTGAGCCATGTGTCTACCTGTTTAATCTTGTTGACCCTGTATGAATTTGCACATGGCTTAGGCTGTAATCCAGAGATTATTACATTTTGGTTCTGCTTTTTAATTTAGCCTCTAGTTACTCATATTCCCTCAGCAGAACCTCTTTCTCGTTTCTACCTGTATTGCAGGTACCTAAGTGGACCAGGAGAACGGGATCTTTTCCCTGCCATTCCAAGTTCCTCTGCAGCCCAGATGAGATCCTGCACTCGGGCACCAGGCAGGCAACACAGCCTTCAGGATTCTTGATCCTGGCTGCAGAGAATAGTGTCTATTCTCTTGACTGTATTATTCTGATTACAAACACATTTTTCTTTTCCCTTCACTTTTGAATGGCTCCCTGTACCATGGTGCATTGCTCAGTTTGCTTATCCCTGCTGCTCCTGTTCTTACCCACACGGAGCAAGATTCTTAGATGTGTCAAACGAGTTCAAGGGTTGAGGCTCCTTCAGCACTATCTCCTATATCCCTCTACCTGCCTCGCTCACAGTCACACCCTCCTGTCCCTAATCGCCTGAATTTAATGTAGTTAATCTAAGGGGTATGACTGCCTCCTGAAACACGTCGTCCAGGTAACTTTCCTGCTCCTTGATGTGTCACAGTGTTCGAAGCTCAGACTCCAGTTCATCAGCTCTGAGCTGGAGTTCCTCAAGCAACCAAGACTTGTGGTCACTGTGAACAACAATGGGGTCCACAAGTTCCCACATCTTGCAGATGCAACACATCGCCTGACCTGGCGTCTGTATTTTAATGACTTAGTTCTTATTTTGATTTGTAAAAAATTTATCACTAGTCTTTAGTTTGTAGCCTATAAATATTTCTCCTATTTAGCTTCAATCTGAAAGTAACCTATAATAGTCAAATCAGATGCTATTACCTACCAATGAACTTACAGTTTACGTGTGATGTCACTCATTTATGCTGAGTCCCTGATCCTGGACTGCAATTTATGCTATTTAAAAAAAAAATTTACAAACTATGAACCAAAAAAAAAGCAAAAAGCACCTAGACCCCTCTGTACTAAATTCCCATGCCGTCCCCAAACGATATACTCACTCAGGCTGTCTCATTCTGGATGTGATTTCTCCTTCTTGAGCGTGCAAAGCTTACTGATCTATCGGTGAGGAATTGGTGATGCTTAAGAATTTCAAACTACATTCTTCAATGTTTTCAGTGATATAGTTTGTGGTTTATTCAGCTACTAATAAAGTACTTTGCCTATGGTAAGATGGAATGTAGGATTAGTGTTTTGCTCATGTCTCATTCTGTGCTTCAGATTAGTTTTAATGGAAGTGAAGGAAGGCGAAGACGGAGGCGTTCTTCAGAGTCAGATAGTGACTCCGTTTCTGAAGGGAAACGTCCGAAAAAACGTGGGAGACCTCGAACAATTCCGCGTGAAAATATTAAAGGTTTTAGTGATGCTGAAATTCGAAGGTATGTTCTAAATTGTACTAATTTAATAGGAATCATTCTTTTTCTTCATAGTACACTCATTTTATCTACTGGTTCCTAAAACTTATTTTGTAAAATATTAATAGGTTAAAGTTTGGTGGAAATATTACTCTATCTACCCTCCTCCAAATCATACGATGTTTTGGCTTCAACTGCTTTCTGTGGTCATGATTTCCACAGGTTCATCACTCTTTGGGTGAAGATATTTCTCCTTGTCTCTGTCTTAAATGGTTTATCCTGCATCTTTAGACTGTGACCCCTGGTTCTGGACTTCCCTGCCAAGGGGAACACACTTCCTGCATTTACTCTGTCTAGTCCTCTTAGAATTTTATAGATTACCATGAGATCCCCTGTCAGTTTTCTGAACTCCAGGGAATATAAACCTAACCAATTCAACCTGTCCTCATACATCGGTCCCAGCATCCTCGAAATCAGTCTAGTAAACTTTCACTGCATTCCTTTGTAACAAGAACATCCTCTGATAGGGAGACCAAAACTGCACACACTATTCCAGGTGTGGTCTCACCAATGCCTTGTATGATAGCAGCAAGACATTCGTGCTCTTGTATTTGAAGGGCAACATACCATTTGCCTTTATATACCACCTGTTTACTGCATGCTTATCTTCGGCGACTGTATGAGATTACCCAGGTCTCATCACCCATTCCTCTCTCAATTCATAGCCACTCAGATGATCTGCATTCCTAATTTTGCCACGAAAGTGGATAAGTCACATCTAACCACATTACACTGCATCTGCCACGCATGTCTCCATTCATTCAGCTTGTCCAGATCAAACTGAAGCAACTCTGCATCCTCCTCACAGCTGACCCTCCCATCCAGCTTTGTGACATGCAAGTTTGAAGATATTGCACTTAGCCCCTCATCCAAATCATTAATAGACATAGTGAATAACTGGGATCCAATGCCTGATTCTTGCAGCATCCCGCTAACCACTGCCTGCCATTTGGAAAAAGACCCATTTATTCCTCCTCTTGGTTTCCTATCTGCCAACCAGTTTGCTATTCATCTCAATACAATACCCCAAATGCCATGAGTTTTAGTTTTGCACATTAATCTCTTGAGTTGCACTTTGTAGAAATCCATCTGAAAGTCCAAGTAAACCACGTTCACTGGCTCCCCTTCAGTTCTATTAGTTTTATCCGTGGAGAATTCCCATAGATTTCCCTATTAATTTCAAGGCTCACGATCTTCCTTTTGTAAATCCATGCTGATTCTGTCTGATCTTGCCATTGTTTTCCAAATGCTCAGCTATTAGTTCTATTATAATGAATTCTAGTACTTTCCCCACTATCAGCGTCAGGCTGACTGGTCTGTAATTGTCAGTTGTCACTCTGCCTACCTTCTTAAACAGAGGGTTTACGTAAACTACCCTCCAATCTGTAGGAACTTTTCCACTGTCTGTAGAATCTTGGAAGATAACCACAAATGCACCTGCTATTTTTAGGGCCATTTCTCTTCTAATACTGATTTCCTTCAGTTCCTCTTTCTCACTAAACCCTGTGATCCCCAACGTTTCTGTTATGTTATTTGTATCCTCGTTTGTGGAAAAAGAACTAAAGTATGAATTTAATTGGTTAGCTATTTCTTTGCTCTGTTATAAATTTTTCTTGTCACCAATCTTTTCCCTTGACATGCCTATAAAAATTTTTACAATCAGTTTTAATGTTCTTCGCAAGCTTACTCCCAGTCTATTTTCCCTTTCCTAATCAATCACTTTGTTCTGCTTTGCTGAATTCTAAACTGTTGCTACTCCTCAGGTATGTTGTTTCTTTCTGGCCAATTTGTATGTATTTTCTTTGGATTTAATACGATTTCTAATTTTCCCCTGTAAGCCGTGGTTTGGCCAACATTCCCATTTTACTTCAATACCAAAAGCATACATTCTGATCTTCCATATTTTTTGGCCAAGTAAAAATTAAATTCCAGTTGACTTGAGTTGAAATGACAGTGATTTGGGCTCAAGGTACACAATTATTCATATTCAAATATACTGAGAAGTACGTGATTGTGCCCATTCTAAATTGTGTATGATGTGGCTGAATGTGTCAATACCACTTTGTGTTTATTAGATTTATCAAGAGCTACAAGAAGTTTGGCGGACCTCTGGAAAGGTATGCTTTATGCAAATACAGTTTGTGTACAACTGGAGCAACCTATCCTGAATTTGTTTATTCCATTATCTATAATAGTTGCAAAATTATAATTAAAACAGTGCGTTGTAACCTAATGGATCTTTCATTACAGGTTAGAAGCAATTGCACGAGATGCTGAATTGGTAGATAAGTCAGAAGTAGATCTCAGGCGGTTAGGAGAGATGGTGCATAATGGCTGTATTAAAGCTCTACGAGAGTCCACAGGCCAGGAGAAAACAGGTATTCATTATAGTTTACAAATCATTTAGAATTATCGATGTGAATACAAAGACAAAGTTGTAATCCTGAATTATACACATACTAGACTTGAACAAAATGTAAATATTGTTGGTCAATGAGTAGCACTGTCACCTCTCAGAAAGTTGTGAGCATATGTCTCAGTCCAAACATTTCACTGCAGAACCAAAGGCGTATTGTCCGAGACCTTAAAATTGAAGCTCCACCCTTTTCAACTCAGGTTGACCTTAAATTGTCTCTATTTCAAAGAAGATCAAAGTAGTTAGTCCCTGTGACCTGGCCAGTATTCATCACTGGACTGATGCCACCAAAACAGATCAACTGGTCATCGTAATATTTCTGCTTGTGATAAATTGGCTACCAAATTTCCTGCATTGCAATGTTGACTACACTTAAAGACAATGGAGCACTGTTTGGGTTACCCTGATTCTGTGAAAGGTACTATAGAATGCATGCCTTTCTTCTAAACTTGTAGCAGAACTGCCCAGGGCGAAGATGAGCATGAGAATTGTGAGGAAAACCTTCAGTGGTAAACATTACTAAATTTCACTATCCTTGAGTTTTCTTATTTTGCAGACTGTTCATCGTGATGCAAATGTAGAACTCTATATTTTGCCCTTTTTATTTGGTTTTTTAATGCACTCCACTTAAAATACATGTTTATCATCGCAGTGATTTCACTTGGGTTAAAGGCCAAACAGTGCCTTCAGCTTCTAATTTTCGCCAAACGTTGAGTGTTTATATTTTGTGTTCGATTTTCCTTGTTTTAGAAAATAACAGCACCAGTTATTGGGAGGTTAATTTTTTTTCAAAAAATGCGAATGGGAAATACAGCATTTTTTAGTAGCTGAGAGAATTTGATTTAAACTTTTGCAGTATGTTCACCAGTTTACGCTTTTGGCATGGATTAAAATTTAAGTTAGGAATTGACAACTTCAGGATGACTCCTTTGCAAGCAATCAGCGATGAACAAGAAATACTAGCAAAACTCACATCCCAAGAATAAAGTAGAAAGCAATAGCAGGCCGTTGACCCCCTCAATTGCCGTTTTGCTTACTGTTCTTTCCTGTCTGATTTTAAAGCAAATACAAGAAGCATCTGGTTTCTATTCACTTTACTACTTCATCCATATCCACCAGACAGCCTGGCCAAGAATTGATAAAGAGTAACTAAGGAAAAAATTAAAATGTTCGTTGGTTATGGAGCCTGATTCTCAATGTTATTTTCTAGATTGAATGTATATTGGTATACTGTCAGTGATATTGCTGGTCTGTTGTTGCTCTTCAAGCACACGCAAGGATCAGTCATAGAGTCATACAGCATGGAAACAGACCCTTTGGTCCAACTTGCCCTTCCTGACCAAGCTTCCCAAACTAAACTCGTTTCACTTGCCTGCATTTGTCCCGTATTGCTCTAAACCTTTCCTATGCATATACCCATTCATATAAATGTCTTTTAAATGTTGTAACTGTACCTGTATGTACTGATTCCTCTGGCAGTTCATTCCACATATGAACCACCTTTTGTGTGAAAAAGTTACCCCTAAGTTCCCTTCAAATCTTTTTCCTCTCACCTTAAAAATATGCCCTCTAGTTTTGAACTCCCCTACCCTAGGGAAAGTCCTTTACTATTCACATTATCAAGCCCCTCAAGATTTTATAAACCTCTATAAGGCTACCCCTTAACCTCCTACACTCAAGTGAAAAGAGTCCCAGCCTATCCAGCCTGTCTTTATAACTCAAACTCTCCAGTCCCAGCAGCATCCTTGTAAATCTTTTCTGAACCCTCTCAAATTTAATATCCTACCTGTAGCAGGGTGACCAGAACTGCCCACAGTACTCCAGAAGGAACCTCATCAATATCCTGTACAGCCACAACATGATGTCCCAACTCCTATTCTCAGTGGTCTGAGCCATGAAGGGAAGTGTGCTAAACGGCTTCTTAACCACCCTGTTTACCTGTGACACCACTTTCAAGGAACTATATACATTGAACCCCTAGGTATCTCTGTTCGACAATACTACCCAAGGCCCTACGAACTCCCGAGGGCCCTGTTATTAACTATATAAGCCCTGCCCTTGTTAAACTTACCAAAATACAGTACCTCAGATTTATCCAAATTAAAGTCCATCTGCCAATCCTCAACCCAACTGCCCAATTTATCAAGATCCCTTTGTAATCTTGGATAACCTCCTTCACTGTCCATTGTACCATCAATTTTGATGTTATCTGCAAACTTACTAACCATGCCTCCTAAACTCTCATCCAAATCGTTTATATAATGACAAAGCAGTGGACCCAGCACCGATCCCTCTGGAGCACTGCTGGTCACAGGCCTCCAGTCCTAAAAACAACTTCTACCACCATACTCCATCTCCTACTGTCAAGCCAATTTTGAATCCAGTTGACAAGATCTCCCTGAATTCCATGTGATCTAACTTTACTAACCAGTCTATCATGCAGAATCTTGTCAAAGGCTTTACTGAAGTCCATGTAGATGACATCTACCACTCTGCCCTCATCTATCTTTTTGGTCATATACTCAAAAATCAATTTCTTTAATATAACTGAACTAGAATGTCATGTCTGATCTTGAAAAAGACTTTTTTGTATATTTCCTGTATCAATAAAATGTCTGAATGTTGTATTTGAAACAGCTGCAAGGCGTGGTAAAGTAAAGGGGCCAACGTTCCGAATCTCAGGTGTTCAGGTGAACGCTAAGCTAGTCATTGCTCATGAAGAGGAACTGGCACCCTTACACAAATCTATTCCACCCGATCCAGAGGACAGGAAGAAGTAAGTTTGTTTTTTGTATTAACCGCTATGCTGAATTAATATTACTACCTCCACTATCAGTGCTTCACATTCTGAAGCAATAATTATGTATCTGAGAAATTAATTTTTACGTAAAGAAAATTCCACATGATAGTCAGTAATCAGCTCAATTGTACTATTTCATTAATATTACCTCGAGTTAAATTGACTTCATAAAACAAATTGTCTCTTGCCTGATTGGTTTATATGTTTTTAAGTTGAGAGCATTTCAAGTTGCCCAACTGGAATAAGTTCAGTGATTGAATTGATTAAGTATGATTGAATTTTCCATTCAGTTTGAGGGAGGGAAGAGTGGATCCAAGACTAGTATTTTAAACTTCAATAAGGGCAACTTCGAGGGCATGAAAACAGAGCTGTCTAATGTGGACTGGATGCTTGGGTTAAGTGATAGCTTAATGACAATCCTTTCAGAATACACAAAATAGATACTTTCCAACAAGAAAGAAAATTCGATCAGTAGGACTCACCTCCTCTGGTTAATTGAAGAAGTTAAATACTCTGATAAAGCTTCATGGTATTTTATTTGGAAACAGGCTTTAAAGGGAGCAGGTCTTTGTATAACTTCTGGATTGATTTGTATCCGTCCAGTAAACCTTTGTAGTGCTCCCTCTTTGGCCAGAAGATTGTTAGTCAGGTGTGGAGATAAAAACAGTCCACCGCACTCTAGGTGTAGTCTCACCAGGGCTGTGTACAATTGCAGGAAGATATTCCTGCTCCTGTGCTTGAATCTTCTCACTGTGAAGGCCACCATATCATTTATTTTCTTCATTGCCTGCTGCACCTGCACGCTTACTTTCATCGACTTGTGCATGTGGACATCAACGTCTCGTTGCACCTGTCCCTTCCTAAACTGTTGACATTCAGGTATTAATCTGCCTTCCTGTTTTTGTTACCAAAGTGGATAATCTCACATTTCTCTGCATTGTGCTTTATTTGCTATGCATTTGTCCATTCTCTCAACTTATCCAAATCACACTGAAGCATCTTTGCATCCTCCTTGCAGCTCACCCTCCTATCCGGCTTTGTGTCATCAAAAGTTTGGAAATACTGCATTTGGTTCCGTCATAAGAATCCACTGCATTGAATCACATATTCTTTAGTTTTACATGCGAACCTCTAATATGTTCCCTTTATGAACTCTGCTAATTACATCCTCGAAAAATTCCAGCAAATTATTCCAGTATGATCTCCTTTTCACAAATCTTTTCTGAGTTTGTCTGATCCTGTCAATGTTTTCCAAATGCTCAGCTATTAAATCGTTTATATTGTACTCTAGCATTTTCCCACTAGTGATGTCAGGCTAACCATCTAGTTCCCTTTGTTTTTCTACCTGTTTTTTAAGATAATGGGGTTACATTAGCTACCCTCTCATCTACAGGAACGGTCCCAGAGTACATAGGGTTTTGAAATACGATCACCAGTGTGTCCACTGTTTCTAGGGCCCCTTCATTAAGTATTCTGGGATGTAGATAATCAGATCCTGGTGATTTATCAGCCTTTAACCCCACCAATTTCCTCATCAACATTTCCCTATTTACACTAATTGCCTCCATTTCCTCCCCATCACAAGAATCTGTATTCCCCAACATTTTTGGAATGTTACTTATGTCCTCCTGTGTGAAGATTGAAGCAAAGAATATATTTAATTGGTCTGCCATCTCTTTATTCTCCATTCTAACTTTACCTGCTTCTGGCTGTAAGGAATGTACCGTTTCTTAAATAATCTTTTAACGTGTGCAACCTGTAGAAGCTTTTACAATCCATTTGTATGTTACCCTCAAGATTACTCATTTATACTCTATTTTCCTCCTCTTAATCCATCATTTTGTCCTTTTGCTGATATCTAAGATGCTCCAATTCCTTAGGTATGCTACTTTTTTGAGCCATTTCGTACACCCTTCTTTGGATCTGATACTATCTCTAATTTCCCTTGTTAGCCATGGTGGGGTCGCTTTTACTGTTTCAGTTTTGTACCATATAGAATGAACAATGTTGCAGTTTCTTCATGGACTATGTAAATGTTTTTCATTGCCTAGCCATATTCATCCCTTAAGTAATATTCCAAAATTAATCATGAGTTCACATTTCATACCGTCATAGTTTCCTTTATTTAGACTCAGGAGTCTAATCTTATAATCAACTTTGTAGTACCTCGTGTAGGTAGCCTGTTCTCTAGTTTGCTCATCAATGTATTGATTCAGAAACCATCCCATACATTCTCCAGGAATTCCTCCTGTACAGCATTGTTACTGATTTGATTTAATTGATATGAACATTAAAATTGCCCTTCTAGCTGTACGTTTATTGCTTGTGTCTCAGAAACAAGTTCCTTATGGGGAAAAAAAACCATCTAAAAGGTTAGCAAATGTGCAAGTTTTTTTCAAAGTAAGAAGCAGGCCTTTCAGAGAAAAAAGGCTTATGAGAGCAGCAGTGCAGTTTAGCAGTCTCCAAAAAGGTGAAAGAAAGCAAGTTCTGAATGTTTTTGAGGTTAGTAAGAAAAGAGTTCCAGAAACACCAGACTTTAAGGTGTCACAGTGGAAGATATGCGTTGAAGGAACAGATGTTGAGGAGTAAATGAGGCGTGTTAGCAGTTTATATAAGTGTTTTATGAAGAGTGATTAGCTAAAGAAGTTCGCATTAAGTGAATGCAGAAGTTTGCTGGTAAACCAAGTATAGCCATGATCTCTGAACAAGGAACATGAAAGTAGAAATGGAGTGACACATCACTGAGATTTTAAGTATCTGTAAGGTTGTTGCTGAGAGTGTAAGGGTTGAATCTTCATTAGATAAACTGTTATTTTAAAAAGGAAGATGACAGAATTGGGGCACTACAGTCCGTTAGCATAGGGAAGATGTTGGAAACTGTCATAGCACAACACTTAGAATAGCTTGAGATCAACAGTAAACATTTGAGAGGAAAATCACATGTAACAATTATTGGAGTCCTTTGAGGAAGTAACATACTCTAGATAAAGGGGACCAGTAGATTTACTATACTTGATTCCAAAAGGAATTTCATAAGGTTCCGCATTAGAGGTTATTGTGGAAATGTCATGGTGTAGGTGTCACTTATTGACACGGATAGACAATTGGCAAGCTAACAGTAAACAAGAAAATAGGCATAAATGGATCGTTTTGTGATTGGCAAGATGTAATGAGTGGTGTGCCAGAGGGATCAGTGCTGGGTTCAACTTCTAACAGTTCATATCAATAGCTTGGATGAAGGAACTGAAGATATGATAGCTAAATTTGCTGATGGCACAAATATGTAGGAAAATAATTTATGAAAGAGAAATGAGGCCAGAGAGGAATATAGGTTGGTTAAAAGTGTGAGCAGAGATCTGGTAAATGTAGCATAATGCGGAAAAATGCAAAATTGAATGGGGAGAGATTGCAGAGCACTGAGATGTAAAGGGATCTAGGCAAAAGATTAGTATGCAGATACAGAAAATAATTAGGAAAGCTTAGATCACATCTGGAGTAGTGTGTAGAGTGTTGGTCTCTTTATTTAAGGAAAGATATAACTGCAGTGGAAGCAATTCAGAGAAGTTTACAAGATTAATCCCTGGGATGGGCAAGTTGTCTTATTAGGAAAGGACGGACAGACTAGGCTTGTATCTGCAGGACTTCAGAAGCACAAGAGATGAATTGATTGAAATGTTTAACAGGGTGCACGAGGAAAGGATGCTTCTTATTGTGTGAAAAGTTTTATGAATATGTTTAAACATAAGGGATCACCTTTTAAGATAGGGATATGAATTTCTTTTCTCCTAGATTCATGATAGTCTTTGGCGCTCTCTTCCCCAAAAGGTGACGGAATCAGATGCCTTAAATATTTTTTAAGGCAGAGCAGATAGATTTATGATAAGCAAGAAGGTGAAAGGTTATCGGGAGTAAATAGGAATATGAAGTAATCTGATCAGCCTGTGATCTTATTGAATCGTGGAGCAGGCTGAAGGAGTGAGTGGCCTACTCCTCCTAGTTTCTAAGTTTGTAGAACCAAGAGATAGTTATTAAATATAGCCTCCAAGTTATGGTTCCCTACTACTGAGAAGGAGAAGGAACATTACACTGTAGGAACATTACCATCTCCAAGTCTGTCCTGACTTTGATGTCCAGTGCTATTCCTTCATTGTCACAATCCTCAAACTCACTACGTAACGGCATTTGAGGAAGACCTTGAACTGAACGGGCTGCAATGGTTTAAAGACAAAAGTGTACTATCTGGCTAGAGATGGACATTGCCTGTCAGCAGTCCATATTCTGAAAACAAATGGGTGGAACAAAATCAATGATAAGGTTAAACTCCATTTTGGACTTTCGTAATATATTGAGATAATGCAGTGTAGTGATTCAGTGTCCCAGTTCATGTGTCCCATGCGCAATAGGTAGTTGTTTCTGGTTTTTCTTGAAAATAATAGGAAAATGTAGATCAAAAGCCTATTGCTGTTTTTTCAAAGAGAACGTACCTTGCTCGCAGTAATCGTTTAATCAGAAGGAAGCAGCGCCAGATAGCAGAAACAAGATGTGTTGTTGGACAGTAGTTTCATGTATTTATTTTTCTTCTTCCCAAAGGTACACTATCCCATGTCATACTAAAGCAGCTCACTTTGATGTGGAATGGAACAAGGAAGATGACTCCAATCTTTTAATAGGCATCTATGAATATGGCTATGGTAGCTGGGAAATGATTAAAATGGATCCTGATCTCAGTTTAACACACAAGGTGAAAGATTGATCATTTGAATTAATGGTTTGCAGACAAAGTTACTATGCAAGAGGTCAAAATTATTTATACAGTATTTGCATCTTCTCTAAATTGGATATGTATTACCAAATCAAAATGATTGTCAGAAGTTAAATTTACATTTATCAAATATTGATCCATACAACTATGATGCTAAAGTGAAGGTGTAAGATATCTTAGCGCTGGGCCCTCATGTCCTTTGCAAGCTTATGTATGGTCATATCTTTTTATCAGGCATGCATGGTGGTGTCAATCATTCAAAAATTCTGTTCACTGTGTTGTTACATTACTCCAAACATGAGACAAGTGCTGCTTTATCTTTGAGGGGTGGGGGGGAAATCAAGGTCCCAGCACAACAGTGCACCACTGTAAAACTACCACAAATGAAGACGAGATTGACACCACAGCTGATAACACAACCACATCCCTTATAAAAATCAAGCCATTATTTTCCCTGACGGTTGTTCTGAATGGTACATCTTTGTTCAAGCGCAGTAGCCAAACTAACCCAATAATATGAGCATGAGCCAAAGAACCACTCATGCAAATTTATAATCTATTGTTACAATTATTAGTTTTGTAAAACACTAAACTTTGCACTGCCTCATCACTGAAAATAACCAGCTTTTAAAAATAATCCAGCTATCAAACTTCATTCAGTTCAGTAGAAAATAGCATAATGTTAACTGTATATGTAAGACTGCATGTTTCTTTAAAAAAGTCTCACGTACCTATCTGAGCACATCTGTTTCCATCTACTAAATAAGTTTGTTCCAGGATAGTTTGCTGAAAGCTGATCTTTATTCATTCGTGGCATATGGGTGAAACTGGCGAGCCCAGCATTTTTCAGCCCAGAGAATTTAATTGTCCAGAGGGCAGTTAAGAGTCAACTAGATTGCTTTGGGTCTGGAGTCACATGTAGGCTAGACCGTGCAAGAGTGACAGTTTCCTTCCCTAAAGTAAATTGGTGAACTAGGTTGGTTTTCCAACAAACAACAGCAATTTTGTGGTCATCGTTATATTCTTAATTCGAGATTTTTTATTGAACTCAAATTCCACCATCTACCATGGCAGGATTCAAACCTGGGTGGACAGAACATTACCTAAGTTTTTGGATTAATAATCTAGCAATAATACCACTTGACCATCGCCTTTTCCAAATTTTGCATTTATGGTTTCCAGTCAAGTTACAGTGCTGCTGACTGTTTGCCGTGGTTTTCTTAAGGCCATTAAAATCACCTTACAGAATAAACAGGTATGTTTCTGGCTGAATCAGTTGCTGAAAACAGTTTTGTTTTTGTTTGTTTATGGGATGAGTGTGTGTCACTGCTTAGTTCAGCTCATATTGCCTATCCCTATTGCCCTCAAACATGGTAGTGGGCTATCTCCTACAAACATACACCATCTTGCAAAATTAATGCTGCTTCTGTTGCCCATTTTGAACATAAAGGAGGCTTTGTACTGTCCCTGTCAAATAGCTGACAGAAAGTGAAATCTTGCAATTAGCTCGGTTGATTTGAGCCTAGACAGTACCTTTGGACGTAACTAGGTGTGTTAAAAGTTGAATATTCTTAATTTTTATCCATTGCAGAAACAAAAGGATGCATTTTCTACTTAGTTCCCTAGCTGTTTTTAGTTAGGAACATGTTTGATGTTCTTTTGTGTTTGTTAATTGTAGACACGTTTTCTTTCTTAAGATTTTACCTGATGACCCAGATAAGAAACCTCAGGCCAAACAATTGCAGACCAGAGCTGACTACCTCATCAAATTACTTAGTAAAGACCTGGCCAGAAAGGAGGCACAAAGGCTTGCTGAGGTACATGACATACTGAAGTAATTATTGTTTCCACCCACATGATTTGTACATTGTTTTAGAAGCAGTTGACATTAGGTAATTACTAATGAAAGTCTTTATTTTCTTGGGTTGTGGGTGATATTACCAAGATTGTATTTATTGTCCATCCCTAGTTGCACTGAATTGGTGATGCTGGTAAGCCACCTCTTGAAGCTATGACAGAATTTGTGATCTAGCAATGGTATTAATCAGAGAATTCTGGCACTTTGACGATGAAAGAGCACATTTATATGTTCAATTTATTATTTTGTGTTTCATTTGTTGTAGAGTTGAATGTATGGCTTTAAGTAAGTTTCTAATGGGGTTGGTTGTTGTATAGTAGATTTCAGTCTAAGAAGAAAAGAAGGATTAACGTGGGGAGTAAGTATTCCTGTCAAGGCGCCAGAGGGGCACCTATTCCTAACCTCCAGGGATTTTTTCCAATTTTTAAAAAAATTTGGTCTTTAATGGCTATGGAACAGCCTCTTGCCGCCTTTCTCCATTTACCAGGAGGCAGCCCTTATCCCTCCTCAAATTACAGTAAAAACAACCATGTGACACCAACAATGTCATTGGGCTGCAAATTTCACATCTCAACCCAGACTCCTCTCTGCTGTAATGGAACCTTTGACCAAGTGGACATTTGATACCTTGGGGGGTGGGGAGGGAGGTCGCGGGCACAAGCGGGTGTGTTGTGTGATTGGTCAACCTCAGTTTGGTAAGTCACCGTGTCCGATTGCCTGCCTTTTTTAAGGAGTCTGCAAATTACCTTAACAAGACAGAAAGTTGGCAAACAATTTTTTGTGTAACAAAGTAAGATAATTTATTAAGTAATAAAGCAATACTTAACCAGACAACAGTTTACACGTCTCAATGCCATAATACCGCAGAGCAGCTTGGGTGCGGGCTGACGTTAGTTTCGGTCTGACGACTTTCTTCACTTTCATTTCTTCTCCATTCTCTTGTGAACCTGTACAATGATATGCTGCGCCTTTTTGGAGAGCTCTGTTTTATCCCTTTAGCTTTGGTGTCCAGGATTTCTCCTACCATATTTAGCAAAAGCAACTGATTCGCATCCATCGTAACATAATCAATGTGATCAGGAAACCATTTCATTGAATTGTTGATAATCAATAGTTTCATCCTGAACTACAATTAATAAAGCCTAAAGCATGCACCTTTGATTCCAATTAAACACACCGTCTGGCAACAAAATTAATTGTGCAAGGAACTTAGCTATTTTCAATATCCCTTTCTTGTCTCTTGTTAAACTGTGAACATTCAGTTATTCAATTGTTTTAACCTGCTCTAACTTCCACTTAAAAATTCTGAAATGTTCTAACCTCTCATCATTTGTCTGCATAAATATCTAGTTTCATATAATGTGTTATTGTCTAATCATCAGTGACATCCTTTATTTATGCAAAACCTAATTGATGCAAACCACATTTCAGGTAATATTTATAAAATGTAGCAAAAATTCCAGTCCTTTCTTGCTTTGCAAAATAATTTAAAAATATGTGCCTCAGGATTGGTTTTACAAATTTCAAGATGTGAACTTCATTTGTCAATAGTGGTATGATTTGTCATTTCTTGTGAGCAGCTGCAGAATGCATTCAAATTGATTTAGTTACAGGTTTCACAAAGTTAGAACATGATTTCCAAAAGTCATGGAACACCGTGTGATAAAAAGGAAAGGCATTTAGCTTACTTGATCATTATGAAGGCATGGTATTGACACTAGTTCATTTAATTTGCGTATACTGAGCATTTTTTTTAATTCGAGTAACTAAAACTGGATTTGTGCTTTATTTGAAAAAGGCTAATTCAAAAAAAAGGAAACCAAGGAATAAAAGGAGTAAAGCTGTAAAAATTGTGAAGGTAGAAGAGATTCAAAGTGATTCATCAGCACCGTCACCTTCAGTCAAAAGTTCAGATGAAGAAGGAGAGATCAAGGTAAGGATAGCTCCAATGTGTCATTTAATTAAACTGGAAATTTTTACTTGGCTCCATATCCATCATTGTCCTGCCTTACATCAACAGTGATAAATCTGAATGATCTTCAACTGAGCATCATCAAGACCAAAGTTATCCTGTTTAATTGACATCAGAAAGCCTGAATCCTTGCCATATATTCCATCTTTCTCTCAACTATTCAATCAAGTTAGGACCAGCAGTTTTTAACTTTGTCCTGTTTGGTGCTGAGCTGATGAAGATGGAAAAGGCTATGAAAAGAACTCAATGCTAACATGAGAATTTAAAATAAGAGGCATTTGGAGACCAGAAATCTATTTAGGTTAGCAAGTACAGAGGGCGTTAAGTGGGTAGGGCATGGTGTAGGGTAAGATGTGGGCAGCAACATTTTGGATTAATTGAACTTTATTTCTTCTGTTTGTAGGATGATAGTGCGGGAACAAAGTCTACAAGAAAGAAATTGAGACCAGAAAAAGAAAATGAAGAGAAATTAGAACAAGAAACCATAACCAAGAAAGAAGTTGAAGAGAAGGACATCAAGAAAGAGCCAAAAGAAACAAGAAAAGACAAAAAAGAAAAGGAGGAAAAGAAAGAAACAAAAGATAAAGATATCAAGAAAGAAATTAAAGACAAGGAGGATAAGGATAAAGAACTTATTTATAAAGATAGAGAAGTAAAAGAAGAGAAGGTAAAATTATGTTAAATAACATGGTTGATATGCATGTTTTCAGGAGTTTGTTGTAAGTGATTAGCTAAATTCCAACAAATCTTATTCACTGTCAGAAAAAAAAATCTGATATGTGCAGTGTTGAATTGCATATCAGTGTTGCACCTTCAAATGCTCCAAATATAGTGAAGTAAATATGGTACAGTGTATAGCTAGGAGATCTGGGATCAAGTCCCACTTGTTTCAGAAGTTTGTCTTAACAGCCTGTGGAGGTTGATTAAAAATATCTGTAATTGTAGACATTTTACCAAATGGCAAACACAGGTTTTGAATTATCTGTACAATTTGACAATAGCTAAATTATAACATGCAGTTGAGCAACAGAAATCATGAATTGGCGAGGATGAGATACAAATATTGGGGCCTTTCCCCGTCAGTTCAGGCCTGGAAGGGCCTGTTTCCACACTGTAGGGATTCTGTAAATGTTTTAGGGATGAACTGGAGGGAGAGAATAAAAGTAAGTGCAGCGAAATGGGAAAACAGCTTCGTGGGCAGCTTCGAAGGTTTAAGGATAGCAAAAAAAACACTGAATTTGTCAAAGAGCAATTGATATGTTTACTTGCAGAAATAAAATAAATTAGAAATAAAAGTTGAACTGGAAGCACTAATTTAGAATGGAGTGACATGATAAGGCAGTTTTGGAAATTAGGCTTCAGTTGAGGAAAGACCAGAATTTCTCTAACATTTTTGGTAGAGATGAAGAAAAAATGGCAAATGAGATGGCTTTAATAATTTAAGGCACAACTATTGCTGAAGAAAGGCAAGCTAATTTTGGTAATATTGCTGAGTTAAAGTCCATCCTGACCGAGTTCAGAAGTAATCAGGAAGCTCTTACCTTGTTTAGGAGAGGTGCATTATTGTCTGATGAAAGGAACTACAATAGAGATTTATAGAAGTTTACAACAGTTGGATTTTAACAATCCTAAAGTAGTCTGAGAAAAGGCAGGGGTTTGTGATGAAAATAGGGAACAATTTATGAATGGACCGAGAATCGTTTTCTTAATCAGACTGTCACGTGTCAACATCAAAGGGTGGTTCAAGAAACAAAGCAATGAGAGTAAGCAACCAAAAAATCGAAAAATTCCTGCAAATAATGATCACCTCCTCGTTAAGTTTGCATTGAATCTGAATATCGGAAAAATTAAAGCTTATGGTTTTGGATTGGACTTGCACCTCTTAACTGAGATAAAAATGGCCTTAGCCCATGTATAATTGGTTGGTGTAATGACCTATCAAACAACAGCAGCAGTGAGAAGTACTAAAATACTGGATGGACAAAGTGAAACCTGCATATTGACTGGAAGTAATAGTGATGCATCAATAGCTGGCAATACATGAATTAATCCAGACACGTAGGTTAGGTGGAGCATATAATAATACAAATAATAATATACAGAGGAACATAAAGGCAACATACCTACAATTTTAAGCAAACAAGAGAAAGAATCCTATGCACTTGAAACATTAACTCTCTTCCTCTCTTCATAGATGTGCCGACTTCCTGAGTTTCTCCAACTTTGTGGTTGTTTCAGATTTCTGCAGTATTTTGCTATTCAAATGAAAAATATTAAAATATTTAATTACAGTTAAAAGAACTAAAAGCAAAATGTTCTTACATTATGATAAACTTAATTGCTAATGTGTAGCGATGCCAAAATTAAAATGGATTGCATTTTGTGGTTTAAAAAAAACAGCAAAATTGTGTGAGCATTTGTTGTCATTACTCTGAAGACAGAATATGGACTTTACACATCCAGTTAAATGTCAAAAACCAGAAGTTGCTATCAATATTTGAACATATTTGCAGGATATAGTCCTGAGGTCCCTGCAGACTACAATAAATTAGAAATCTCTGAATTTCCGCTTTTCACTATAATATTGCTGTTTAAAAACCCCCACACAAAAAAAGCCACTAGTCATGTTAGTACTATGTAATTGGATTAGCAGTGAAATAATTGCTAGTTTCTGTTTAAGAGCCTTTCTAGATTTGGAAAATTTTATATTTGTGTGATGTCAATGTTTTCTATTTCAATATTAAAATCTTAGTTAGATATTAAGAGTTTATTGTGAAACCACTTTTATTCACTGTCAGTTGACTTTAAATGGAAGTAAAGGATAACCAGAGCATTTTAATTTGGCTTGCTACTTGTAAAACTGCTTCTGTATGATTGCTTGCATATTCTGATGAAGATTGTTGCTGGATGTGGGGAGATTCTCTCGATATGGCACACGTTTCAAATTAATATGTAGAAAGAGGAAATCCACATGAGATACCATTAAATCTTTGTGGTTGACTTTCTTTGTCATTAGTGAACACCATCACTTCATTGCTGAATGCAAAATCTAGACCAATTTGGAAATTGGAACAAAAAAGAACAAAAGAGATGTCCTGCACAGGAACAGGCCCTTCAGCCGTCTGACCCCGTGCCAATCATCATGTCCTAACTAAACTAAAAAACAAACCTTCTGCCCTTGTTCGGTCTGTATCCCTGTATTCCCTCCCTATTCATGTAACCATTGAGATGCCTCTTAAATGTCGCCAACACGCCTGCTTCCACCATCACCTCTGGTAGTGCATTCCAGACTCCTACCACACACTGCATGAAAAAGTTCTCTCGCACATCTCCCTTAAACTCCTCCCCAGCCCCGCCCTCCTCACCTTGAGCCTGTGCCCCCTTGTAATTGAAATTTCAATCCTGGTTTAAAAAAAACCTCTGACTGTCCACCCTATCTGTGCCTCTCATCATTTTGAAGATCTCTATCAGGTCTCCTCTCAGCTGCTGTCTTTCCAGTGGAAACAATCCTAGTCTTTTTAACCTTTCCACATGGCCAATGCCCTGGAGACCAGGCAACATCCTGGTGAGCCTTCTCTGTACTCTCTCCAAAGCTTCCATGTCCTTCGGGTAGTGTGGTGACCAAAACTGCACACAATACTCCAAATGCGGCCTAACAAGGGTTTTATTTAGTTGCAACATGGTTTGACAACTCTTGTACTCCACACCCCGGGCGTTGAAGGCAAGAATGCCATATGCCTTCTTCATCACCTTGGCTAACTGTGTTGCTACTTTCCGGGAACTGTGGACCTGCGTGCCATCTGAATGTTAATGTTCCTAAGGGTTCTGCCATTTACAGTATAATTCACACCTAAATTTGATCTTTCAAAATGCATCACCTCGCATTTGTCTAGATTGAAGTCCATTTGTTATTTCTATGCCCAAGTCGCCAATCTATATCCTGTTGTATCCTTTCACAGTCATCAGCACTGTCAGCAACTCCACCAATCGTCATGTCATCTGCAAGCTTACTAATCAGACCACCTACATTTTCCTCCAGATCATTCATATATACTTCAAACATCAAAGGACCTAAGACTGATCCCTGTGGGACACCACTAGTTACCAGTC